CCGGAAGCACTGATTCCGCCAAGCCAACATGGGGCCCCGTTACATAGCTCCAGGACAACCCTCTCCATCCTGATGCCAACTTGTCAGTCGGGTTTCGAGACTTCTTGTTGGGTTGTCCCTGAACCCTGACCCTGAGGCTCAAAATGGCACGAAAGCCTTAAATGCACCAAAACCCTTATTATTGTACCCTATATGGAACCTTTGTAATACCCGTCAACCTTCTCTCTTTGGGCCTGTGTCGAGAGTACCTATAGTCTACATTGTAGTTCCTTTTTCTGCTTAAACCTGTACGGTGACCCATGAAGGGAGCTGCAACCCCAATGAAATCAAAGGGTGCTTCTTGATGAGGGGTCCAACTTCTTCCTGAGAGACCCTAAACCCTAAACCCCAAACCCCTAAACCCTAAACCCTTAAACTGTCAACCCAAAACCCCTTAAACCCTAAAACCTAAACCCTTAAACTTTAAACCCAAAACCCTTAAACCCTAAACCCTGAACCCTCCTAAGCTGGATCCAGCCTCTGAGATGAATGACAGGACCAACTTCGTGGACTCAGTTTTGCCTCTGAGCTTAGGGCTAGAGGGGTTTAGGGTTTAGGGGTTTAGGGGGTAGGGCTTTGCGTTTAGGGGTTTAGGGTTTAGGGCCTTTGGGGTTTAGGGTTTAGGGCATAGGGGTTTCGGGTTCAGGGTTTAGGCCCCAAGGTGGAGGTGGGATGAGCTCGCAAAGAACACCGTCGCACTGGCGTATCCACAACATGGACATTCTACGCTCGCTTCTAACCCTGCACCGTGAGCCCTTACACAAACCTCTGAACCGCTTGCCCCAATGCCTGAAGCCCAAAATCTCAATAGCAAGGCCTGACAGTCGAATCTGAGCATGCATACATCATGATCATCGTTACCATCATCGTCATCGTCATCAGCAACATATCAACAGCAGCAGCATGAGTATAGCCAGCGTGAGTATACGCGCATGAGCTACTGTCAAAAGGAATTATACACCCTAAGCGATGAACACCAAAAGGACAGGGCTTCCGATTTCCAGAGTTCTTGCAAGGTCAGCTACGAATAGTTTACACTTTGTATGCAGGTGTGCAGCCGAACCTATAACTACTTTGTTCATACCCTGATACTGAAACCCCACGACACCTTGAAGCAAGGGTTGGAGGTCGAAATCCTGCCTGCGCCAGACTCGCCACTGATAAGCACAGCCTCGCATCAGGGGCACGTGGAAGCTCCCCCTAAACCCTGAACCCCTAAACCTTAAACCCAATGACCCGAATCATTTCTAGTGCGACACCCTTAGCCACAAGGCCCGAAACCCTATCCCACTGCAAATTTGAACCCGAAGTCCCAAATCAAGAAACCACCCCCCCCCACCCCCCCCACCCCCCAAAAAAAAACGACGGTATGCGAAATTTCATTCTGAAGGCAAACCTCTACTCTCAACCTTCGTTTTCGTCAAAACGAATCCTAAACCCTTCTCGAGACTCTACCGCTTCAATCAGTCCGACAACTTTGGACCACAACGTAGACTTTAGTTGTAGACTCGGGATTAATTAAGTATTTAGAGTTTAAGGTTTACGGGTTTGGGGGTTTTGGGTTGAGGCCTTGGAGGCTTTAGGGAATTGGGTTTAGGGTTTACGTGTTTAGGGGAGTTATAACTTTATAACCTTACACCCTGAACCCCTGCACCCTAAACCCCTGAACCCGACACCCTAGTTTACTGGCGAGGGATGTTAGTGTTTCCTTACATTCTTAGCTATATACGGTGGGTTACCGACTGCGGCTTCGACCTAAGGCAAGATCTTCCATATCTATGTTTTGTTTTTTAAATGTGGTCTTGTAACGGTGGAACCCTAAACCCTAAACCCTAAACCCTAAACCCATCCACAAGCTGTGGTTGTCGCGATTTCTTGCTGCACAAAGCGCTGCTGAAATTGCAGCATGGAGCTCGTCGATGTAGCATCACACATCACCATTCGGGTTTAGGGTTTAGGGTTTAGGGTTTAGGGTTCATCCCGATTCGCCAGCGATGCCAGAGCTGCCATGGCGCCATGGCCTTCTTGCCAATGACCGGTGCTCGCTGTGGCACCTGAGTGCTCTAGGTTTGGATCTGACCCCCTGGAGATCACAAGTTGCCATTGCATTAAAGGTTATTCTGTTGATAAAGCCGAGCTGCATCCCAGAAATCGTCTGACTGTTTGAAAGTAGCACAGTGACCTTTCAATTAGAAGTAGGGCATGCCGTCCCTGTTGACAGATGTTCACCAGCCGCCCGGCTTGTTCTCGCCCTGTTCCATGAACTCCTTCTTCCTACCAACGTTGCACTTGTAGTTCTTCGGTGGTCTGCATTATACCGATTCTGCGTTGGTCAGGAGTGACCTCAAGCGAGCCGCGAAGATGAGATCAATGATCGGCGGGTTGTCGGCCGTCTTGCTCGGTTCTGAGTGGGCTAGGGTTTCGGAATCTTATAGAGTGAAACATAGGGTTTAGGGTTCAGGGTGTAGGGTTTATAGCCTAATTACACGACTTCAACGCCTGGAAGTACTCTCAGGGTTTGAGGTGTAGGGCTTACGGGTTAGCTTCTTCGTTGCAGCGAGGGGTTACGCAGGGATATCGATTTCAGGAGTAGGGTATACCGTTAATTCTTCAAGCAAAACGTGTAAGCCCTAAGCCTTGACCTTTCAACGCTACACCCTAAATAGGGTTTAGGGTTTAGGGCTTAGGGTTTAGGGTTTACTAAGCCCTAAACCCTGAACCCTAAACCCTGAACCCTAAACCCTGAACCCTAAACCCTAAACCCCAAAACCCTATAACCTAAAGCCCAAACAACAAAGAGTCAGCCTGATTTTTGCCATCGCCACCTTGCGTCGGCGGGCTTGTGGGCGTTTCCGGAGTTCGGAAGAGATTCTGTTGGGGTGGGCCTAATGTAGGGGTTAAAAAATTACCAACACTATGGGGGTTCCTTAATATAGTTGTACCATAAAGGAGCCCAACAACCTCTTCTAAGTATTAAGGCCCCTCTGTTAGGGTTTAGGGTTTAGGGGCCCTAAACCCTAAACCCTAAACGCTAAACCCTAAACCGTGGGGACCGAAAAGCCTTAAAGGTCTGATCCTACAAGCCTTAAGCGGTAAACCCCCCACAGGAAACCCTAAACCCTAAACCCCAAGCCCTGAACCCTCAGTTCTACCCAGACCTGAGGGTTTGTAGGTTCTCCGAGAATCCAACATCGTTTATTAGGGTTTAGGGTTTAGGGGTTGATATTGTCCAGAGGTTTCCTTGAAGTGTCGCGAAGACCCCTCATTTAGGTGTTTTTAAAAGCCCGGTAC